TGCTTTTGCTACAACATCATCCTTCTGTCACACTCAAAGCTAAGGAAACTAAGCCTTAATGTGAGAGACCCAACTTGTCCCAGGTTCTTCCAGCTCTTGGGTTAACTGGCATTAGCGAATTCTTTAGAGAGTAGAAATGGGGAAAGGGCATGCCTCACAGAAGGGAAATGTGTGTGTTTGAGTTCTATTCCTTGGCCATGATGAACTTGGCTTGAGGGCATAATTATCAATCATCCACCTCTACTGACCACCGCAGAGTAGGTGCAGTGGGGCTAAATAATGGATAGACATCTGTTTATGCCTTCTGGGATCTTTCAGCCTAATAAATATTAGTATCTTGCTTTACATTTGCATTCTGTTCATGTAGATCTATTCCTCTTGTCTTTTATGAAATTTTCGTGATGCACCTTGGGCAATGAGAGGAAGTATAGAAAAATGGTTGAGAGCATGCACTCAGACACCAGATGGGTCCGATGTGCATCTTGGCTCTGCCACTTACTTATGTGACCTCAGACAAGTCACTTAAATACGGAGATATGTTCTGAGAAATGTGTTGTTAGGCAATTTTGTTATTGTGCAAACATCACAGAGTGCACTTACACAAACCTAGATGGTATGGCCAGCTACACAGCTAGGGTATATGGTATTGCTTCTAGACTATAAACCTATACAGCCTGTTACTTTACTGAATACCATAGATGATTATAACATAGTGGTAAGTATTTGTGTATCTAAACATAGAAAAGGTATGGTAAAAGCACAATATTATAATCTTATGGGACCACCATCATATATGCAGTTCATTGTTGACCAAAATGCCTTATGCAGCACATGACTGAACTGAACAATTTCTATGCTTGTTTCATCGCTGGCAAAATGTGGATAGCAAGTAGTGACTACGTCATAAGGTATTGTATACATTAAATAAAGTATAATATATAAGTTGCCTAGCCCGGTGTCCAGTGCCTGGGAAGTGTCATATTATTTCTGCTGTTATTAACCATGAGGGGTGCCAGTGGCAGCTAGTTATCCACTGCCCTGGTTTGAGTTTGCCTGGAAACAGAGCCTGACTTGTGGGTAGGTAGTTTAATTGCAAGGTGATCTGAGGATGCGGGAGTCAAAGAGTGTGGAGAGTGAGATGGGAAGGAAATGAGAAATTCTAAGGCAGGGGAGGGTGTTCAGCTAGCCTGAAATGGAGATTAGGACAGATGCTGGCAAGCATTACAGAGAGGCAGATTAGCTCATGTGTGCCTCAGCTAAACTCTCAACATTTTCAGGAGAAACCATAAACAGTTAATATAATGTTAGGTTTTTTTAAGTCCCCCATAAAGTATATGAGACCCTTTTTGTAAAGTTAAAACAACTAAAATAAAGACATATACTCTTTGGAAATTCACATACCACAATCGAACTTCTATCCCAAGAAATTAAGATATGATAGGCCAGGAGCAGTGGCTGACGCCTATAATACCAACACTTTGGGAGGCCGAGACAGATGGATCACCTGAGGTTGCGAGTTTGAGACCAGCCTAGCCAACATGGAGAAACCCTGTCTCTACTAAAAATGCAAAATTAGCCAGGCGTGGTGGTGCATGCCTGTAATCCCAGCTGCTTGGGAAGCTGAGGCAGGGGAATCACTTGAACCCGGGAGGTGGAGGTTGCTGTGAGCTGAGATTGTGCTATTGCATTCCAGCATGGGCAACAAGAGCAAAACTCCATCTCAAAAAAGAAAATAAAAAATGAAATTAAGCTATGATAAACTCAGGATGTGAAGTGTGCTGACTTAGATGGGGTAGACAGAAATTAAATGGTGAAGGATCTGTTTGGTTATTTATAGTTACAGGTGGGACAACTGAGACACAGGGAAACCAGAACAGAATGCAGAGTCCACAAACAAACTCATTACAGATATTTGATCTATAACCAAAGTGGCACTGAAAAGCAGTGAAAAAAAGGAGAGTATTTTCAATGAATGGTGCTGGGTAAGTAAATAACCACATAGAAAATGATTAATCTTGATCCCTACTTCACGTCACATGCAAAAAAAAAAAAAATCAATTCTAGTTGGATATTAGATTTAATTGTGAAAGATAAAACAGTAATGCTATTAGAAAATAACATTTAAAAACTGTCATAACCTTAGCAAGAAAGATTTCTTAAACATGACACAAAAATAACTCTAACCATAAACAAAATTACTTACAACTTGGAACACATTAAAATTATGAATTTCTGTTTATCTAAAGGCATTATTGAAAGGGTTAAAGTTGTGTCAGAGTTGGAGAAGATATTTGTAATCTACCCAACATTATCTGTATATTACCTCTCAGTTCCAGATTCATTCATTCTCTATTGTCTGCTCTGCAGATATGGTACTGAATCTTTTAACTAGCTTTCCTTTGCCAGCTGGCATGATTTTAGGCTTTGTCAGTACAGGATGCTGGAGAAACACTGCGGGAGAAAGGGGTTTTCCCTTCCTGGTTCTGGCGCGCTCTCTCAGCAGATTCCAGCAGCATGCAGCTGCTGCAGCACCCAGCTCTACAACTGAACAGGAAGAAGTGTGAAATGGGAGAAAACAATCACTTCCGATGTGATGGGTTAAGGCTGCAGAAACCTTGCCTGGGGCCAAAAACAGAAACCAGTGAGCAGTCTGAAACTAGACCAGATCCACATCACACAGGAGCCAGATACTGGACCAAGTTGATCCACCTGCAGAAGGGGAGGACACTGAATTGAACAGCAGACACAGACCTGCTCTGGGGCGATGTACACTGTAGGGCCACTGAGGAAACGGTTAGATGACAATGATCCATTGAACAAGAATTAGACAATGTCTTTCAGTCAGCAGATCTGACAAATGGGAAAGCGTGAATGGAAATATACGTAAAACAACAATGATTTGAAAAAGTGATTTTGAAGTAAGTCTATATTAACCTTCCAAGATATAAGACAGAAATAGCACCCACAAAAAAGAAAAGGAGGTTATGAAACTAGTGAGGGCAATTAAGAAGCAAGAACAGTCTACAAAATAAAACCATGGAAATTCAAATATAATAAACAAAAAAATTAAAACTCAAAAGAGGGTTAAATATGCCCAATAGGTGCAAGAAGAGATGCTCAACATCATTGATGATCAGGGAAACACAAATCAAAACCACAGAGTGGGACCATGTCACACCTACTAAGCTGACTATAATAAAAAATAGAAAACAAGTGTAGGCAAGGATATAGAGAAACCGGAACCTCATACATTGTCATGGGAATGTAAAATGGTACCTCTGCTGTGGAAAACAGTGTGGTGGTTCCTCAGACAGCTAAGGTTTGCTGCTATGGAATGAAGAAAAAGTAAGTCAGGGTAAGGAATATCAAGAGTGTGGGGGCAGGGAGTGTGCAGTTTGCAGTATTCAATAGACTGATCAACTTAAGCCTTGTTGAAAAAGGAATTATTAAATAAAAGACAGAATGGAGGTAATGAGCTATGGAACATCTGGGAAAAGAGTGTTCTGGGCCAGGAGAACAGTTCGTGCAAAGGTCCTGAGGCAGAAGCATGTCTGGCATGCTTGAGAAACAACAAGGAGACGGGCAGAACTGGAGCATGGTGTTAGGAGAGAGGCCTCATCATGGAGCGTCTCCTAGGCCATCATAAAAACTTTGTTTTTCACCCTGAGTGAAATCAGGAGCCATTGCAAAGGAACATTACAAGATTAAAGTTTGGCTGCTGGGTTGGGAATAGAGCACAGGAGACAAGGTTTAAAGCAGAGAAGCCAAGAAGGCTATCTTGGTAGCCCAGATAAGAGCTGTCACCGGCCAGTGTAGCAATGGACATGGTAAGATTTGTTCAACACTAACCCTATCTTCAAGGAAACATCTTCTTTGTTCCAGAATTCAATCCATGATCCTATATTGCATTTAGAGGTCATATCTCCTTATCTCCTCCAACTTGGAACAATTCCTGTCTTTAATGGCCTGGACACATTTGAAGAAGACTAGTCAGTTATCTTTTTAGAATGTTTCTCAATTTGAGTATGTCTGATGTTTTTCTATGTTTTAATTCAAGTTATGTATTTTTGTTTGTTTTTGAGACATGTCACCCAGGCTGGAGTGCAATGGCACCATCTCAGCTCACTGCAACCTCTGCCTCCAGGGTTCAAGTGATTCTCTTGCTTCAGCCTACTGAGTAGCTGGGACTACAGGTACGTGCCACCACACCCAGCTAATTTTTGTATTTTTAATAGAGACAGGGTGTCGCTATGTTGGCCAGGCTGGTCTCGAACTCCTGATCTCATGATCAGCCTGCCTTGGCCTCCCGAAGTGTTGGGATTACAGGCGTGAGCCACCACACCCAGCCCAAGTTATATATTTTTGAAAAGAATATCACAGAACTGATATTGTGTCTTTCTCATTACATCAGATGTTACATAATGTTGACAAGTCTCATTGTTTGATGTGAAAGCAATGTTAACTTTGATCATTTGGTTTAAATGGTGTCTGCCATTTGATCATTTGGTTGAAATAGTGTCTGCCATGCTGCATTCGTTATAAACTTACTATTTTCCCATTATAATTAATATCTTGCCTTGTTGCAAGAGTATTTGGCAGCAGAATATTTTGAGACTATGCAAATATCCTGTTTCTTATCATATTTTTATACAATAATTTTAACATCCCATGATATCTCTTGTCTCTAACAATTATTACCGTGCGGTGTTTGCCAAATCATCATTTTCTGTTTCTATCACTTTTACATTTATTAACTGGCATTCTGTTGTAAGGAAGAGCTGTACCTTCTTCCCTAATTATATATTTATTTAATTATTTATTGACAACAGTATGGACTCATATTTTTTGTTGTTGTTGTTAGAACAACTCAGCAAAATAAAATTCCTGTTTATTGTTGGAAAACATTGTTTCACACATACATCAAACAGGCCAAAAAAAATAAACAGTAACTTCATAGACAAAAAAGGAAAAAAATGAAATCTTTTAATCTTTGGCCTTTCAACCATCTCATACAAACCAACTACTTATAGTACAGCTAAGTACATACACAACAAAGGTACTGGAATGCTCGGAATAGGATTGTTTTTCTGTTGTCATTTTCGCTTTTTTTTTACAAGGTTTTTTCTCCTTTGAGATTATAATGAACATGGTCACACCACAAGTAAAGTCAGAAGCAGGACAGAGAACGCTCTGAAGGCTGCTTTGGTCATCCGAGATCATTAAAAATGGCTGACCCTAACAATATGTACAAAAATATAAAATATAAATTAAAAACACAAACAAATTTCCTTTTTAAAGTACTTTTAAGAAAAAAAGCAGGGCCTTGGAAATTTTGGTTCTTTTTTCCTCCCCTGTTGCAAATTCTCATGGTTTGGGTTGGGTAGTGGAGAGCGCGGGGTGTCCTCTGCGGTGGGCGGGCCGGCCTCTCTACTCGAAGGAGACCACGTTTAGATTCTGAGACAGGAAGTGGAGGGTGAATAGGTCACGGCGGCCTTTTGTTTTGGGGTTTTTTTTATGTTAACTTTTCCTTTTTCGCTGTCTAATCATCCTCGTCGGTCTTTTGCTTCTTGGTATCGACATCGCCATCCTCAGCATCTTCAGCTGCCCGCTTGCCCGTAGCAGACTCAGCTTCCTCATCTTCATCTCCATCCTCCTCCTCACCATCACCTTCTTCCTCCTCTGCCTCCCCACCTTCTTCCTCTTCTTCATCTACCTCATTGTCAGCCGTCTGCTCCCCATTTTCCTCACTGGCATTCCGGTTAGCAGGGGCGTCTCTTCCACAACTTCCTTCTTCTCCTTCAAGTCCTTGCTGGTGATTTCGGAGCTGGTGCCTACCGCTGCGTCTGACATGGTGAGGCACGGTGATCCGATGCGGGGCTTAAAAAGAAAGCGAGCGTTCAGGGACTCTGGCGAAGTAGGCGCGCGGTGTAGGCGGCGGAGGCCAGCAAGGAGTCGGACGAGGAACAAGGCAAAGATGGCTTTTCAGAGCAGCCAGTGGGGTGGACGCATGATATTTACTTATTCTGCAAACTATAATCCTTTTTATCATTATATTTATCATTTATTTTGTTGCTCAAATTGTCCCAGATTTGGTTGGTCATTGGGAACTCCTTCAAGGTGGCTCTTGTGTCCTTTTGACATGGCTTGATCATCTTTTTTAGAACTTTACTACTCTCTGTAACCCTAAGATGCTACAGTCTTTTCTTCTACTTCCCTCGACTCAGCCCATGAATCAGCCATTTCTTCAAGGACTTCTGGTTCCTTTTTATTGAAGAATGAAATTTAGAAACCAGTATCTGGGCACTGTATATACGTATTGCTACTGGAATATAATTGCTTCAAGGGCCTCTCAGGAGTTAAAGCTGGGAAATATATTTACATATATACATATTTTATATAAATTTCTGTACGGATATATAGCCGTGGTTTTAAATATCTTTTAAAATAGACATTTATAAATATTATAAAACATATTAAATATATATTAAATAAAACCATAATCGAATACTGAAATACCTTCAATTCCAATATCAAAGGGTTCATCCTAGCCTCTTCTCTTTCCCTATTTATAACTTATTTCTCTGACACTGAGAAACACAGCTCTCATTATCTATAGGACATTTATTTACTTGCTTACTTTTGGAATACACATGAGGTAGTTTAAGAATTGCTTCTAGCCAGAGTAGTCAGGCAAGAGAAAGAAAAAACAGCATGTGAATAGAAAGAGATAAAGTCAACTATCTCTGTTTGCAGACCACATGATACTATATCTAAAACCCCCCGTAGTCCCAGCCTAAAAGTTCTTTCAGCTGATAAACAACTTCAGCAAAGTTTCAGAATACAAAATCAATGTACAAAAATCACTTGCATTCCTGTACACCAACAGCCAAGCCAACAGCCAAATTAGAAAAACAATCCCTTTAGAATCTAAATATATTTCTAAAAATATTTGGGAATTACACTTGCCACAAAAAGGATAGAATACTTAGGGATACAACTAATCAGAGAGGTGAAAGATCTCTATAATGAGCATTACAGAACACTCCTCAAAGAAATCAGAGAAGACACAAACCGTAAGGTTTATTCTCTGTAAGGTTTATTGCTGAGTTTAAAATGAGGAAACTGAGGCCTGCATGAGAACAATTAGATGCTCCCGGGCGAGGTTTTATGGTCCAGGGAAAGGGGGCCAGAGAAGTGGCGCCTGACTCCTCTCAGGCATGGGGTTATATAGGGAGGGAAGGCACTCTGATTGGCTAAGGAGAAACAGGACATGGACGTGGCAAGCTGCTATAGGTAGGTAGACGGGATTTCCGATGAGCGGGCTGGACGGGGCAATGCACTATTGGGCAGGTTTTGGTGGGACTTCTTTTAAATTTTGGTGGGGTTTTCCAACGGCTGGCTAGGTGCCGAGTGCAGAGTTTAGTGTCGAATGCAGATCCTGGTGCTGAGTGCAGAGGGAATTTCCAACGGTGGGCTAGGTGCCGAGTGCAGAGTTGAGTGTTGAGTGCAGAGGTGGGCGTGGTGGAGCTAGATGCTGAGTGCAGATTCTGGTGATGTAATTTTCAGGCATGGAGAGGGATGGGCGTGTCCGAGCTCCCGGCGAGGCAACCAGCCTTACATTCTAACCCTTTTGATGATATAGGACGTGGCTTCTTTCTGGCTACTTCCTGCGGAATGGGGCGGAGTGAGGTGGAGGGGTCAGTTGGCTGGTGCCTCGGTTGGGAATCAGATATAGGGGTGAAGTATCATCTGGTTTACGGCCACCCTGAAAATTTCTCTCATGTGGGCCTGTAAAAACTTGAGAAAAAAAGGGGCTAGTATTAGTAGAAGACACACAACAATAACGGGGGTGACAATGGGAGCTAACTGGGTAAGCATGGGAGATTGCCACCAGTTGAGAGCTGAGGCTGGTGCACTCTGCTTCCTGTGGAGGTTCTCTTGGAGGTGATAGAAAGTGTTGACATTTTCTTCCACAAGGCCTGTTTCTTTGATGTAATAGCAGCACTGCTCCTGGAGAAACAGACAGGTACCTCCTTTTTCTGCCATTAGTAAGTCTAGGGCCCGTCGGTTCTGGAGAGTCACCTGAGCCAGTGACGTGATTTGTCACTGGAGGGAGGCTAAAGAGGCAGCTGATGCTTCAATAGCCACACGGAGCTTGTCTTCCAGTTGGGCGTCTGAAGTGATGCTGTAGCCCATGGCACCACTCCCTATTCCAGTTGCTACTAGAGATGATGCTAAAGAGAGGCCAACTACTATCGGGAGGAAGACTGCTCGTTTGCTCCAGTGATTAGGGGACAGTGTGATGAGGAATAGGAACTTGGCTTGTCCATACGCTTCTAACTGCAGGACTAGTGTGACAGGCACACAGGAGAAAGGGAGGGATGCATCAATAACTTTGGTTAGGGTTCCATTACACCAAAAGTATCCTCCTGGAGGTGCGTAAAGGGAGGATTTTACTTCTACCGTGCTGTTGCACCTGAGGCTGGGGCTGCTGGCTGTCCCATAACAGAGAGGGAGATTTTGAGAATGTACGTTGAACAAGGGTATACCCGTTAAGATGGTGTCAGGCCCCGTGGGAGATTGTGACAGATTGAACCCGGTCTGGAGGGGAACTGTGGCTAAGGGGGGTTTGTTAAGGAAGGCACATAAAAAGCAGTTGGTGAAATCTGTGGCCCTGGTTAAATTTAACATGTTAGCCCCTTGCTGTACTAGAGTTAGCCAGGAGAAAGGCTGGAGGGCCTTGTTTGAGGGCCTGGGTTGGATTGAGGGGTTAAGTTGGTTAGTTAAAGAGCTCTCATTTTGTAAGATGGAGTTCCTTAACGAATTGAGTTGTTCCACTTCCACGGGTACGATCCTAGTATAGGACCGGAATATTAGCCAGGTACCACTGGGGCGGCTGTCTGTAAACCTAGTGTCTATTTTACCTGCCGTACCCCTTTTCCAGCAGGCATCCCAGGGATCATGGATGATAAGGGACACTTTACCTTGGTCGTTGGCAAAGAGCATTCTACTTTATGGGGTGGTGTCAGTTCTGAAGGTTGTGTGTATAACACAAGAAGTGTACGGGCATCCACCATAGGTATCGTTTCTCGAATGACAGGAGTCTTTGGTTTGGTCATATAAAAAGCAGAGGCCAAGGTTATTCCAGGACTTTTTGATGGTATTGGACTTGGATTTTGGGAATTCAAATTTTATGGCTGATTGGCAGCCTGTGGGCTGGCAATCTGCTTGGGCAAGATATTGGGATTTAGTGGTTTGCCCTACTGTCCTGGACTCCTGAAGGTAGAACCGCCAGACATAGTAGGAGTTGACTTTAAAAGAGGATACCAGGAGGATTGTTAGGAGGAGAATTTGAGGGGTTAGAAGTTGACGGCTAGGGGTTACGGCTGAGGCGGAGGCGAGTGGGGCCCAAGGGTTCAGATTTCCACTGATTATTTTTGGGAGCCAGTTTGAGGCAGGACACATGGTACCAAGGGGTATGGCCTAAAAGTTTGGCAGCCATTGGGATAGTTAGGATAACGATATGGGGTCCTGATCACCTGGGCTGCAGAGACCCTGGCTTGAGTTCCCGGAGGAGGACACTGTCACCTGGCTGGAGAGGTATAATCGGGTGGGAGTCCTCTGGTCCTGGAACCATGGGGAGAGTATGGTCCGTGTGTTCCCTGAGTAAGTGGCGGAGGAGAGAGAGGTAGGGAAGGCAGGAAGCCAGAGGAGGTGCCTATGCCAGGAGATTGTGAGAAACCAGAAAAGGCCTGCCGTACAGCAACTCAAAGGGACTGAGACCCATTGGCCTCTGTGGAGCGTCTCGAACCTGGGCTAGGGCAAGAGGTAGGAGTGTGGGCCAAGAGAGTTTTACCTCTATGGTGAGTTTGGCCAGATGATTCTTGAAGATGCCGTGAGCCCGTTCAACCTTACCCGACGACTGAGGGTGGTAGGGTATGTGTAGTTTCCAGATGTTGAGAGACTTGGCGACCAGCTGGACCACCTGAGCTGTAAACACTGGACCATTGTCTGACTAGATGTTTCCAGGCACGCCGAAACGAGGGATAATTTCCTGAATTAAGAGGGAGGCCACCGTGTCCACAGTTTCCTTGGAGGTAGGAAAGGCTTCAATCCATCCAGAAAAGGTATCTACAAAGGTTAGGAGGTAGCGAAGTTTTTTGTGAGTGGGCATATGGGTGAAATCAATCTGCCAGTCTTGGGCTGGCAGGTGGCCATGCATTTGGTGGGTGGGAAACTGTGTCCTTAAGCCTCCCTGAGATGAGACCTTAGAGCAGGTAACGCATGCCTTGTGTACTTGCTCAATCGTCTGTTGTAGACCAGGCAAGAAAAAGAGGGGCTGCACGAAACGGTGCAACACTTTAGGCCCTATATGTAAGGACTGGTGGATTTCAGCAATAATTTTAGGGGCCTGTTCCCGGGGAAGGGCAATTTTGTTGTTTAGAAAGATCCAACCCTGATCAGACTCGGTTCCCCCTTTTAATATGAGGGCCTGTTTCTCTGATGGTGAGTAAATCGGCATCGTGGCCTTGGTGAGAAACAGGACTGGAATGGGGGTAGCCTGGTACTGGTTAAGGATTTTGCTGCTGCATCTGCCCTTGCATTGCCCGGGGAAACAGTATCCTGCTGGGCTTGGTGCCCTCGGCAGTGGATGACAGTGACTTCTTTGGACAGTGATAGGGCCTGTAGGAGAGATTTGGTTAGCATTCATTACGGGGGACCCTTTCATAGTAAGGAATCCCCACTCTCTCCAGATGGCAGCATGGCAGTGGGTAATAAGAAAAGCATACTTTGATTCAGTATAGATATTTGCCCGCTTTCTCCGTGCTAGGGTGACAGCTCAGGTCAAGGCAATGAGCTCTGCTTT